AAAAAAAAAAAAAAAAAAAAAAAAAAAGAAGGTCCACAAGAGATGTTCATCATGTTGTTTATAATGGGTGGGGGTGGGGGTGGGGATGAAATATCCAAAATAGGAATTACTATTGAGGTGAAATATGCAGTCATTTAAAACCAAGTTTTAACTGGGAGACAATATCTAACAAACATGGCATATCCAACCTCATTAATATGAAGGAAATATCCAACAAACATGGCATATCCAACCTCACTAATACAAAGCAGTCTTCCTAATCCATAAGACTAAGTAGAAGCTGGGGTGAATGACAGGAATAGGCAATTAAGGAATACAAGTGGGAGCTTCCCTGGTGGCGTAGTGGTTGAGAGTCCGCCTGCCGAAGCAGGGGAAGCGGGTTCGTGTCCTGGTCTGGGAAGATCCCACATGCCGTGGAGTGGCTGGGCCTGTGAGCTGTGGCTGCTGAGCCTGTGCGTCCGGGGCCTGTGCTCCGCAACGGGAGAGGCCACAACAGTGAGAGGCCCATGTACCGCAAAAAAAAAAAAAAAAAAAGGGAATGCAAATGGCCACAAACATGAAAAGATGCCCATTTTCACTAATAAAGAAACAAAATGAAATACCATCAGATGAACAAAGATGGAAAAGATAAGCAGCACCAGTATTTTAGTGAAGAAGCAGGCACTGCCCACAGGCGTTGGGACAGTGATTTTGGAGGGTACTTTGTCGATATCTATTTTATTTAAATGTTTGCTCCTTTTGACCTTGATCTTCCACATCTAGAAAAATATCTCCAGAATCCCATGTGCACGTGAACCCATACAAAAAGTCATTGGAGCATTGTTTGGAATTAAAAAAGAAGAAAAATGCCTTTCAATAGGGAAGTGGTTAAATACAAGATAGATTCATACCACAGAAATCTATGCAGACAATAAAAAGACTGAGGTGACTCAGCATGTAGTTGAAAAGAAAAAGTGAAAACGAAATCAAGTTGCCAAACGGTATGTTGTTTAGTTTGATCTCACTTATGTAGACACACACACATTGATAAGGGTACACACAGTACTGCAGGATGTGCACTAAATTTTCCTGGGAAAACACACACCTGAGGGCTAGGATTTCAAACAACCTTCACTTTGTGCAACAGCGATTGACTTTTTCTTGCAACAAGCAGATGTTGACATTCTAATAAAAATATTTTATAGCAAAGAAAGCAATTCATTAAAAAATGTTTAAGGCAAATGCTCAGATAAAACAGTCAAAATATAAAGCTCAGTGAAAAAAAGGAGGTCACAAATTCCTATAAAACACGATACATTTTTTTTTTTTTTTTTTTTTTTTTTTTTTTTTGCGGTATGCGGGCCTCTCACCGCTGTGGCCTCTCCCGTTGCGGAGCACAGGCTCCGGACGCGCAGGCTCAGCGGCCATGGCTCACGGGCCCAGCCGCTCCGCGGCATGTGGGATCTTCCCGGACCGGGGCATGAACCCGTGTCCCCTGCATCGGCAGGCGGACTCTCAACCACTGCGCCACCAGGGAAGCCCCCACGATACATTTTTAAAATTATTTGTTTTTATCTTTCGCTGTGTTGGGTCTTCATTGCTGTGTGCGGGCTTTCTCTAGTTGTTGCGAGCGGGGGCCACTCTTTTTTGCAGTGCGCGGACTTCTCATTGTCGTGGCTTCTTTTGTTGCAGAGCACGGGCTCTAGGCGCGCGGGCTTCAGTAGTTGTGGCACGCAGGCTCAGTAGCTGTGGCTTGCAGGCTCCAGAGCGCAGGCTCAGTAGTTGTGGCTCACGGGCTTAGATGCTCCGCAGCATGTGGGATCTTCCCGGACCAGGGCTCGAACCCATGTTCCCTGCATTGGCAGGCAGATTCTTAACCACTACGCCACCAGGGAAGCCCAAGCATGATACATTTTTTAAGACTCAGCGCTTTCACTGCTGTGGGCCTGGGTTCAATCCCTGGTCGGGGAACTAAGATCCCTCAAGCAGTGAGGTGTGGCCAAAAAAAAAAAAAAGAAATGCTCACACCAAATTGTTCACGGTGGTGAACTGGCTGAACTCTTTTCTTTTCCATTGTATTTCCCCATGATTTCTAAGTTTTCTGCATCAAGCATGTACTCTCTTCATAATGTGGGAGTATAAGTAAAAGGGGGAGAGAGCTTGATCACAGAGAGATGAAAAATGTGAGCCCCCAGCCCTGGCTCCAGGCCTGGAACCTGGCTGCTGGGTGGCCCAGGGCTCCTCTTCCTGAGGTCCCAGTGGGCACTTGCCCTTGATTGGCACTGCCAAATGGGAGCTGGACCTACCCAGGGCTGGTTGGGTCTGCCCGAAGGTGGGAGAAGTGAGGATTAGCACCCTCCTCAGACTGACACAGAGAAGCTGTTTATTGCTGGAAAAAATTCACCTCTGTCCCAAGCTCAGCCGGAGGCACGTTCTGGAGATGAGAGCTGTCTTTACAGTTAGAAAACCCCAAGGACTCTGCACCTGGTCCCCTTGCACAGGTGTCAGGAAAAGCTAATTGCTTAGGTCCCTCATAAAGCAAGTTCCAGAAGGTCTCTGAAATTGTCTTCAGAAGTTAGCATCTGGTATAGCTCTGAGCAAGTAGAACTGCTCTCTGGGCAAAGAGTTTTGTGCTGATGTCCTGTTCCTCTAGCTTCTCTCTTGCATTCAGAAACATCTCTCCAAACTGGTAGAAACCATTCATTCATTCATTCAACAAATACATCTCTGTTGAGTGCCTATTCTTCCTGGCGCTGTCCTAGACCTTGGGCAAATAGTGGAAAACCAGAAAGACCCCTACCCTCTTGGAGCTTAAGCATTCTAGGAGGTGAGACAGACAGTAAACAAGAAAGTAAATAAATTATAGCTCATGTTAAGGGCTATGAAGAAAATAAAACTGGGTAACATATAGGGAGTGACTCAGGTTTGAAGAGCAACATTAAATGGTCGAGGAAGTCTTCTCTATGGAGATGACATTTGAGCTGCGATTTGAATAGAAATCTCAGTCAGGTAAAGACCCAGAGTAAGAGCATTCCAGTAAATGAGAACAGCAAGTGCAAAGACCCTGAGGTAGATGTGAGTTTGGTTTAGTCACTGTACTGAAGGAAGAGAGGGAATGATAGGGTCAGATGCTGTGTGGTCTTGTAGGCCACACTAAAAGAGTTTGGATTTCATTCTTTTTTTTTGTTTTTTTGTATTTTTAATAAATTTATTTATTTGTTTATTTTTGGCTGCGTTGGGTCTT